ATTTTTTAAATGAAATTCCCAGAACAATCATACGGTTGTTCTGGTGCACCAAGTCATAAACAATGATTATTATTGTTATTATTAACGCTTATAAAACGCAACTGTTATGCTTTTGTAGTCCGCTAAAATCGATTCTCTTAGACAAGCCACTTGTATTGCACGCGTCAAACTGTGTATCGTGCATCTGCGTGCCAATCGACCATGTCAACACCACAAAATATTTAGGAATCCATTTTGATTGTGATCTATAGTGGAACTTTAACGCTTTCTACATCTTAAAAAGTTACAAGCCGCTTTCTGCAACCTGCGCATGTTTCTTCCCATGTCAACGAGAAGACTTTTGGCGCATGAACTCGTGTGTAGCATACTTCGGTAATGGCGTGTTCGGACAGTGAACGGACCAATTAGACTCTAAATTGAATTCTTTGCTAAAAGGCATTTTGCGAAGCGTGCCATACGGCTCGAGTCTCCAATCATCTGATAACCTGTTTAATGACCTCTCTCTACCAACATTTCGAGATAATAATCGGACATTACTGGGATAACACTTTTAAAAACCCCAACAATGTATGTCGGGCCCTTCGAGATCCAACACCGTTCACCACCGATGCGCATCAACACATATTTTGGGAAATGCATTCGCCTATATTACGTACCTCAAACTTTTAACAACCTTCCCTCTGCGCTAATGGATGTCACATCTCGAAAAGCTTTGAAACGTCAACTGAAAGCTTTTTGTTCAGGCATGTAAGGTTGTATTTATGTGCCGATAAGATTTTATTTTGCTCTTTTCACTTTCCGTGAACTCTGTATGAAGGAAATCCGCACAAAAATACACTTAACCCTATCTTCGCGGTCTTCTTCGAATTAAACACAAATTTAAACAATCATTGCCATCTCGCTCACATTCCCAAATGTAGTTTACTTCTACAAATGATCGCCAAACATTTTTTTTCGCAAATTGTTACAGTTAGTCAGTAAAGCAATAAAAAAATATTCGGCGACTGGCCTTTACAAACTTCAAAATTAACACAGGTAATAGAAAGCTTTGAGCACACAACGAAAAAAAAAAAAAGAAAAGCGTGCAGTCCTTCGTTGCATTAGCATATATTTTACGAATATCAAGTCTAAACAAAAGTCCATGAAATGTTGTTTTTACAACGTGAAAGCAGCAAGGTCTACAGTTCAATGACCAGAAAACTGCACGTGAATTTTCAGCAAAGTTCCATGGGCTCACGTGCGTAACCAAGTGTATTTGCCCTTGCACAGTGTTATACAAGGGAGGCAGTGTTGGGAAGTACTTTAAGTACATTGTACTTAAAGAACTAGTTCAAATAGGTTAAGAAAACTTATACTTTACTTGAAGTAGTGCATTTTCTGAGTATGTACTTGTACTTTACTACAGTATTTTTTTCCGGTAATTTCTGAGGAAAGTATATCTCCCGACTTCAAAACACATTCCCCAAATTTCGACTTTTAAAACTTGTGTCACGAAATTACTCTTTGTGAACCTTTAACCAAAATTGCGTATTAATTGTGATGTGAAAACGCGCTATCACCTTTCGAGACGTCATCTGGTAATTTTTCAGAGTGAAGTAATGGTGGTTATAAGACTAATACAAATTAGTGCCTTGTGAGTTGTTTGTTTTAAATAGTCTATGAACGCGAGTAAAATAACTACCCTGGGACCACTTGACCTTTATCTAATATTTGCCGCCATTTCCAAAAATAACTGATGATTTCCCCGAATTAATGCATACCAGTTAAAAAAAATACTAAACACACACACACGGTATAAGGGAATGAAAAAGCATTATGAAAGATTGCGTGTAAAAGCACTTGTACTTTACTTTGCAAGTACATTGTATTTATTATACCTAACTTCAATTACATTGCGCCCGGTGTACTTACTACCTTACTTGAAGTACATAACCAACCTGCCATTTACTTTCTACTTTGCTTCAAGTACTTTCTAGATGTGCTTTACCCAATAGAGTGCCGGTAATTATAGATATTAGTGAATCGCAACGTGACCTTGACGTGGTACAGCCAACAAACAGTCATGACAAACCGCAGAAAGGCGCTTGCAGGCGCGACTTTTTTTCTTCTCAAGTTCATTAATTGTTACAACCACGCACGCATAAAAAAAAAACAAAAAAACGAAGATTGCGTAATTTCATAGGATATCATATACGCAATCATGGACAAAAAGAATTCGGGGGTTCGACGTGCACCAAGCACCTTCTCCAAGTGACTCTGTTAAAATGCGTAAAAAGAAAAAAAAAAGAAGAGACGGAATATTCAGGCACTGTGCTGCGCTGCTACGGAGAACTGCCTCCTACGATCCCCAACGTCTTCCCCCTCGGTCACCTTTCCAGTTCAAACAGACGCAAACATAGACAGATAAAAAGAAAAATAGAGTTCGTAAGGATATCGACATTTCGAACGCTTTCCTGTGCGGGGGAATTGTTACCTACTACCCAGGTACAAAAAAAAAAAAAACACAGCCCATTCGAAATAATACGATAGACGTACCGAGCGCAAAAAATATATATATTAATAAAACGCGTCTGAAATTTTAGTTGACGAAGAAACAAGCAACTCAACGGTTCCATTTCAAAGCACTTCCCGTGACCTCTTGCCGTCAATCACCACTGCACATCTCAAATTTTTGTTTCCTTTCTTTTTTCATCTAGGTATCGGTCCAAGTTTCTTATTGTTATATCGTTTTCGCGTCGATGCGAATAACGGTTCTAAAGACCCGCCTTCCGGAGTAAAAAAATAAATAATAGATCCCAAAGGCCCACGGCGTATCCTTCGATTATTTGTTTACCCCTGCGCGTGTTTTTTTTCTTTTTTTGTTTTTTTTTCGGTAACATCTGATCATTTTTGAGAAAAAAACAAAAATATGGCAAGTAAACCACACAAAAAGTAAACAGTGAAAATCGGATCGCACGCTTCCCACGAACCACGCACCTCAAAAAATAGTATAAACTACAAAACAAAAACAGCAACAACAACCAAAAAACCGACAATAGGTTTTCTTTTTTCCCAAGACGGACGATGGAATGTGAAGCATCCATCCAATTCCGTTTGAACTCACGAAATTCAAGGCAACGGTTTGACTGTTACTGATTCTGCGCACTTCTTTGTTGAACTGTTTGGGCACGAGTGCGCGTGCGAGAACGCCTTCTTTTCTTTTCTAATATAAAACTTTAAACGTTATAAAATTCAAAACAAATAAAACAATACTTACTCTAAAAAAAATGACGGAAAATGCACTTGTGCAGTTAGATTCAAAGCAATCTGATATTCAAACGATTTGAGTAAATATCGTCAATTCGCATAATCTGGCTCACCTTTCGATTTCATCTTTTGAATTATAGGTTGGATTGACCCGACCTCATCTATGAATTAAGTTTTAGAGCAGCAAAATGTGAAAGTACCGCGCTATAATTTTATGGAAAAAAAGCAATGCAATTGTTTTAGCAGCCAACTGTAGCAACTTACATTTTTTTTAAATATGACGCTACATTTGTGACCAGTATCAAATATATTTCAGACTTAATTAAGCTCTAGGCTCTTGGAGTAACTTTCATCTGTATCAAGGCGAAAAGTGTGTTTTCATTAACACTACATTCATAGCCTTGTTGTGGATAACCCACAAAATTTTACGAACTGATATGCCAGTTGGTTCCACATTCCAGGAATAGATACATTTTACACTATAAACTCCTCCAATACCTACGCCGTAACACTTCAGTTTGATATCGTTTCAACATCGGTCGGTGATAATAGCATATTAAATATAATTGTAGCGACACTCATGACTTGTTTTGAAATGTTCAGTTTTTCGCATTGATGAAAGGCGACGTCTGTGCTATAAGTTTAATTATAATCCCTTTTTGGACATCTGCAACTGACGTGTTCACACTCGGCGACCAATGCCGTGACGTCAGCTAACTTCACAGAAATTGTCGGACCGAATCGCCTAACGTGGCGTGGTAGTCGAAAACATCAGGTTGAAACGGCTGACAATAGAGAACGTTCAAAATCCTCAAATTGTGCTTGCACCATAGCGGCGTTTCGCCAAGTCCACATCCCGAGATGGCCTACACTGCAAGTCCACACAAATTCCGATACTCCTTGATATTATGAGACGTGGTGAGCTTCACTCAAAAGTATTGATAGGCTTAGATTCTTAGGTCGAAGAAGCGATTATGATGGGTTTTGCGATTTATTAACAGGTGGTAATCGACGCTTACATGATCTAAACTACATTCAATTAAAAGAAATAGCAAGGGAAGAACTGCAATCTCAAAATTATTGGACGCGATTACGAATGCCAGAAACTAGGAGGTCTATGAAAGAATGCCTTTAGTCTAATTTGCTATTTGCATAAGTACAACAAAGACGAACATAATTTAATTTAAAAAATCGTGAATCAAGTGAACATCGGTCATCATGACAATAAGGTTCTACAAATTCGCTTCAACTGCACCACTCGGACATCTTCTGAATCAATTCCACAAAGTAGAAAATACACTTTTGTGTAACGATAGAAACACACACAAAAAATTTATCTTTGAAAATGCATGTAAGAAATCACACAAATGCAGAATGCTAACTTTTGGGAGTGCAATAATGCCTACTTTTCGCGTTTCATACAGATGCGGCAACAAATATCTATCCAGGTGAGTAAGGCCCTGAGATTTTATATCGTTTTCATGAAACATAAAACAGCCACAGCAATAAGTGAACTCTTTTATAAACTTCGAAATAGTTGCACAAATCAATTGTGAAAATGCATCCTTCGAAAGAATGTGCCTACCAAAAGCAGCTCATATAAATAGTTTTCTGTCTTCCATATTTAACGTAACTAATGTCACATATCACTTCGAAACTACTAGTGCGCTATGCCCGAAGACACCTGTAAGAAATGTTAACAATTCTAACACTTTCAAATGTAAAAAAAGAAAAAAGAAGAACATTGGACTTACCTGAACATTTTGAGTTTTCCAACAAAGGTTTCGCCGCTTTGCACGGCGCTATGAAAAACAAATCTCGAGGCACGCGCGCAACACCAGCTCCGTTAGCAGAAAGCACAACAACACAGCCACCGTCGTTGCTAGTCCTTCGAGAAGCGCGTAGCGAAAAATCTCTGCTCGAGCAGACCACACGCTTTCAGCTCCGTCATCCTCCTCACCCTTCTTCGTTCATACGCTCTCCGCGTCTTCTCCCAGCTCTCCCACCAATCAGCAAGCCCCGTCGTTCAAACCGGATCGCCCCATTGGACCGGTCGTGGCGTGACGTCACGGATCGAGTTCGTCTGCTCCCGTTTAGGTAGCCAAGTTCGAAACCGAAACCAGAAGGCTCCCGTTGGATGCTGGGCGATATCTCAAAAGTGACAGCAACGTGATATCCGGCCGTCTCGTTTGATAAAATGCACCACTATTAATCTAATTTAAGATAACGAAAGAGGGACATTGAAGACAAACAGATAACACAGGCAACACGGGCTCGAAAGCATGTGTTTTCTGTTTGTCTTTAATGTCCTTCTTTCGTTAATAGAAACCAACACTATTCATCTAGTTGCAACAAACCCGAGTTAGCGCTTTTACGTCTGCAATTGCCGACAGGTGAAGTTCTTAAAAACTTCTCAAACCCGTCTTTTTACGAAAATAGTTTTGTTTCCTAGCAATCGATATGGTTCCAGCAAAGATATTAATCTTTCCTCTTTAAGGATTGGGACGTACGCTGTGGTTAGTGTCACACCAATTATCAACGTCTGCTCAATGTCACTCCCAATAAGAATTGAGTATAGTAAAAAGATAAATAATGTGGCGAAGCCCTTCATGTTAAATCGTTGAAGACAGCTTTCATTGGATCTTTGTCTGAAACGGAATTATTTTTCCGAAAATATTTTCAAGCGTTGGGCTTTGCGATCTTAATTCACAATATAAAAAATGTTTTGGGCGGTTTTGTTTACCACGAGCCTCTATTAATGTAATAAAACTGTCCCAATTAACCACGCTTATTTCCGCGTAACTTGCTTTCTTAATTGAACATAAAAATGTAAGATTACACACTGGGTGTATCAATTGTAGGCTAGAATTTTTTTTAAATTTATTGGGCTACTTTTGTTTGTGGAACTCTGAGCTAATATAAATTAACGAGGACGTTCTTCTTTTGATTGCATAGCTACCAAACAAAATTATAATCGAAGAAAAAGCACAGGGGGTTATATTCAAGGGTGGTGCTTGCATTAGTTAACAAATTTTCTTTCATTCATTTCTGTCTGTTTTTTTTTGTTTCTGTTGCTCCTCACTTTCATTTTATTGTCCCAAACTTATAAGTTAGCGCTCATGCTCTGTACTTTCGTTTTACTTTAACATTTGCGTAATTGATATATTCAAATTTAAACAAACTAGCTGATCAGAAAATTAAATACATTTGATTAATTAATAGACTAGTCGCACTTAAGCCCTGTGTATTTCCGTGTGTTAATTACTGCACAAAATGCCCAGATGCTATGTTACTTTAAAACACTGAAATAATTCAGAGTAACAAGGGAAATGGTCGAGATTCATTTAATGAAATGTAGGTTCATCGGCGGTTTGAACTTTCTTTGCGTCAAAGAGTAGTTCAGTTCAGCTACTCCAAATTAATGAAGTTAATCCACCCCGAAAGTAGTTTGCACCTATCTACGTGCAAGTATACAGACGAAAACTGATAACGTCATACACCAATGAAAAAGGAGCAAACAAAAGCGTACCAAAAGTTCCAGAAAATACTAATGATACAAGGTTTGGGTCCGTGGCGTGGCTTTTCAAGTACCCAATGTTTCCTCAAAGTTGATGTAACAATTGGATCTTGCAAGTTGGTTCACATATGTGATACGTTCTGACGACGCCACGCGCTTACTCCAATAGTGTTAACAAAAACGTTAAGAAAAATAAAAAAAATGAAAGAAGGTTTCAACACAGTAGAGTGAAATTTCAAGCATCCGGTGTTTCTTTACGATAAATCTAAGAATTTATCTTTGCAAATAGGCCTATATATGTGAAAACCGACGACACCAGCGTAAACCAATAGAGAAAGAGCAAAGAAACGCGCAAAAAAAGTTTGAAAATACAAATATTCTAAGGGTCTGGCATATTGGAGTGACATCTGAAGCATTCCGTGTTTTCCAAAGATTGCTCTCAGAATTGATATCTACAAGTACGCCTACATAGCTGAAAAACTGACGACGACACGGCAACAGACCAATAAAAAAACAATGAAACCCACACGCACACACACAAAAAAAAACATTTACACAAACACATATAATACGTACAAGGGTTGGGCACATTGGAGTGACACTTGAAGCATGCAGTGTTTCCCCGTGATTGATCTAAGAATTGAGCTTTCTAAGTCTACATAGATAAACATCGACATCACGCGTATGCACCAATAAGAAGAGTCAAAACATGCACAGAACGTTCATAAAAGTACAAATAATACAAGGTTTGTGCACACTGGAGTGATATTTGAAGCATCCAGTGTTTCCCCAAGATTGCTCTAGGAATTGATACTTCCAGGCAGGTCTACATGGGGAAAAACAGATGACGTCACGCGGATACACAAAGAAGAAAATAGTAAAAATAAACGCAAGGAATACGTTTATGAAACACAAATAATGCAAAGTTTGGGTACCGCGGGTGATGTCTCCAGCACTCCAATGGTTTCCCAAGATTGCCCCAAGAATTGCCCCTCACGCGAAATTCCAGAGTGTTGCCCCAAGATTGTGGTAAGAACGGCCTTCTTTTTAAGTGAGATTTCAAGGTCTCGGATTCCAGAAGTCAGAGCGCAGCCGATTTTGCCAGTCGATGCGACCAATCTAGCAGCACCAAAAGTGCAACGTCACGCCATTCGTCGTCTTTCTGTGAGTCTGCCAACTACGGCTAAACCAATGAGGGTGACCTCGCATTTTTGTTTTCTTTGTGCGTCCACATTTGTACGCCCTCTGGCCTTTGGCTAGCTACGTTCTCACTTGTGGTGAAACGAAGTATAGCCTGCCTTATGACGCCGTCGACATCAACTTTACAAAGAAAAAAAAAGAAAAAAAAAAAAAAAACCTAAGAAAAGTTTGTTCTGTAAAGTTCGCCGCCTGCCACTCCAAGTGGAAACAAGTAACGCGGGCGCGAGAGCTGCCGTCAACCTCCCCACCGGCTATTACCGCCAATTTCGGCGGGGACTTTCAAAAACACGGCGGCTCTCCCCGTGAGTTACGAACCCTGGGTGATTACGTGGAGAGGAGTGTGAGGTAATCGGCGAATGACGCTACGAGACGGGGGAAAGGGAGGTGACGACGTATTATCCGACGGCCTTGGCAAGGTCGCCGAAATTCCCTTTAAAGCCAGTTATTGGAACACTGAATTGGCGGTAAGCGGAATGCCAGGAGTTTTTTTGTTTTTCGTTTGACGTGTCGGCGTGCTTTTTGGCATCCCGTCTGGCAATCACAACTGTTGCGAGACTGTCGCTGGTGCACAAAAGGCGTTGCGCTATTTTTATGATTTACGTTGAGTTTTCTTGGTTTGCTGAGTGTTTGGACATTTGCTCTGAGTGTCCAAACATTGGGGGTTTGAACACTAATTGTTTGAAGGCTGAGTGTATGACCATTCGTTCAAACACTCAGTGAATATATTCGAGTGAGAAGAAATAAACATCTATCGGAACTAACCACGTTCTTCAAGTTTGGAACGTTATTCCCGGCTATACGCAAACCTAATGCTTCTCATTTTTACCTTGTCCTAGCATTACTTGACTGAGCAGTTACGAACAAGCCAAAATAGTTGTTTTATAATATTACTCAACTATAAACCTCTAAGCTTTTCAAGTTGTATGTCTGAATTCACATATAATATGCATCACCAATGTCCTCAACCATGGCATCACAACACTCAGTGCCATGCACCTAAAACCCGCAACCGTGTGTGTCAGCGTCGTCATAAAGTAGCGAGAAGTGCTGTCAACATTCAGCAAATCGTCGCTTTAACGACCACCCGCAGACGACGGTAGAAAAAACAAAACAAAAACACAATATACAAAACTCTCTCCCGGAAGAGCAAACCTCCCGAATTCCAACGAAGGACCATCGTAAACAAATTAAAAAAAAAATAATAATAAAGAAAAGTGACCAGTGTTTAGCACGTCAAAGTCATGAGGATGAAAGTGATATAGTATGCCGATAAAAATTAGAAAAAAAAAAGACCCTTGGTGTCGATCGCTATCTAAAAAAACAAGGAGTGCTAAACGAGGTCCGCCAAAGAAACCAAAAATAAACAAAACAACACGTGCCCACATTTTCGCGCCCACGTGCGAACGGCACAAGACATGTTTGCACACGGATGTGCCGTCTCTCGAAACCCCCATCAAATTGCCTTAATGCTTCGATTAACGGCGTAATTGGAGTTTTTGTTGCTGTTTTCTTGCAACTCGCTGTAATACATTGGTGCGCGTCCCTAGTGCCGGTACAAATGCGGGCTCAATGTAAATAAACGTCGCCGAAATGCAAATGATCGGGTTAATAAAGTTGTCTCGCGAGGGACGACACATGCCTAAAGCGAAAGACTTCCGGTGTCCCGTCTCTACGGCGAGTGCTTTGGTAGCTTTCCAAATTGCTGTCATGTATACCGGCGACAGACTGGCGGCTTTGACAAAAAAACAATTTTTTTTTACAAGGTCGAAGCGGTTGTTTATTTTTTTTAGTTTTCCGGCCCAGGTAACACGAGACGTAGGGCTCAATCAGGCCTCCCGGGTAGGCAATACATCCTTGGCAAAACGCAATCATTATAATTATACCAATTTTGCGCTTCTGCATACGAAATTTTACGCTTAAAGTATTTTTGAATACCTGAAGCATAGGCATGCTAATTAGCCGCCTCGGTGGCTCCGAGGCGCGAGCGCTGGCCTACGGATCCCGATGTGGCGGGTTCGAGTCCCGGCTGAGGTGCCCGCAATCTGACGGAGGCTTATTGCGGAAGAGGCGCCGTGTAACCGAGCTTTCGGTTGCACGTCA